GGGCAGACCTGGCATGTATTCCGGAACCCTGCCTGGGCCCAGGGGGAGGAGTCCCCCTTGTAGAACTGTGCCCAGAAGGATTTCAGGTGTTCCATCAGCCGAGAGCCCAGGGAAGGGGTGGGGGTGTGGCCGCTGTTATCCGGGAGTCGAGCCTCAGTAGGCAGTGGTCTGACCACGACAGGGGTATGATGTCACTCCCGGAGCAGGGACCCTACGAGGAACTAACGACTCCCGGATAACGGCGGCCGCACCTCCACCCCTTCCCTGGGCTCTCGGCTGATGCAGCACCTGAAATCCTTCTGGGCACAGCTCTACAAGGGGGCCTCCTCCCTCTGGGCCCAGCCAGGTTTCAGTAATACATGCCAGGTCTGCCCTCTCATCTAAAATTAAGTCCCGGACGAGAGGAGCTTTATGTACAACAGACCTGGCATTTAGCGACAACAGCCTGAGAATGCCTGATAATGTAGGTGATACTCAGCACATTGAATTATACCTGGAAGTCTATTAGTAGTCAATGCAGGTTGACTGATTAACAGGTTATGCACAACTGGGATGGAAGAGAATGGCAATGTGCCTGCTCCCCCCTTTTTTTGCATAGTGTCTCATGCAAACTTAATTGTAATCACAAATTACAATATAAATTGAGCAGCACACAATATGTAATGGCATAAAAAGTGCTGACCCACCTGAGAACCATAACGTATCTGTTGCTAGACCCCTTGCAATTTGCCTAATGTGCAAATAGATCTGCTGATGCAGTCAATATGACACTGAACTACATCTTACAACATCTTGAATCCCCAAAAACCTATGCAAGGATCCTTTTTGTAGACTTCAGCTCAGCATTCAACACCATCATTCCAGAAATCCTTCTCTCTAAACCATGGTTGTCAAACTTGCAATATCACATTGTCATCACATGATGTATCACGACTTTCCCCCCCTTCGCTAAACGGGGTGGACATGGCCAGCACATGATGCATCCGGGCCACAAGTTTGACACCCTTGCTCTAAACTGACTCAGCTAGCTGTGCCTGACCACACTTACAGATGGATTATGAGCTTTCTAGCAGATAGGAAGCAGCAGGTGAAGCTAGATAAAATCTTCTGATTAATGATTGTAACTATGATTTATAATATATGACCTATCACTTTGTTGTATGTATGTACTTATGCACTGGAGACAAATTCCTTGTGTTTCCAATCACATTTGGCCAATAAAGAATTCTATGTATATCAAGAAAAAATAATAATATAATGATATTTGAACAATGAAAAGAAATATACAGCTGAAGAAAATGCTTCTTTTCTCTTAGGTAGACAATTTCTTCATAAAAGGATAATATTTGGTAGAAAAAAACGCAAATATTTTTCCTCTAAGGATAAGGATTCTGTCACAATACAATATGTATGTTCGCTTGGGACTTCTCTTTGTTTTAAAAAGGGCCAACTGCAAGAAATATTTCAGTTACAGTGTCTATACATTCTGCTAAGGTGTTTTTCGGAGCTAAAGATTTTATGTTTCTTGGCTCATTACTGAGTGATTTTCATCTTAGGCTCATACATCATGCTAAACAATGGTTTATTTAACTATGGTTTACTGAATAACTGGCTGGATTTATATAATATACTGAGCAATAAACCATGGTTCACAAATCCTAATGTGTATTTTCATACAATACACTGACCAAAATAAATCATGGCAATGGTTGCATGCCACACCCAGTTAATAAACAATGCATTTCACCATTTTACTCCTCACAGCATGCTGCATTTTAACCAATATTTGAAATGTGCTATGTTATCGATAGGATTTCTGGGGAATAGATGTTTGCATTTGACACTGTATGAGTGTGGAGTGCCATCCAGACACAGCCATTATATCATTAACTTGATGTGTAGTAAGTCCTCAGTTTATGACCGATCACTTAGTGATCATTGAAAGTTATTATCTATGTGAAAAAGGAAGTTATGACCTGGTTATGACATAGATGAATAAAGTAGTTCTGCAAGTATCCTAAGTGCAGGCAGCATAGCCATTAAAACATGAATTACAAAAACACAATTTACAATAATTACACAATAATGCTAAATAGCCTAATCTGCTGGAATAAATGTGTAGCATTTAGTATACAAGATTGCTTAGGCTTTACAAATATTAAATTGTAATGTTTGGTGTTTTCATCTGAGTTCTGTTTGAGCCTGTGGTTTACAAAGAGGTAGTTAAAAACCTTTCTAGAATGAGTTTTGCCACATGAGGGCTGTCTTTAACTGCCTTTAAGAAAGCAATGCAGAAGAAATCATTTCTCAATCTAACCATATCAGACAACTTGTGCCTAATCTTCAACCTTTTCTTCTGGGAAAATGGCCTATCAGTTGCAGAGTATCCCAGATGAAATATATTACTTGGACCTCTTTCAGCAGGGGTCCTGAGCATGAGGCAGGCAGAAATCAATTGGTTTTTCTGATGGACAACTTACACTGGGACCTGGATGTGGGTGGTGTGACAGTTTTGCAGTAGTAATTGTATCTTCTTGAGCAGCCAGAGATTTAGGAAAAATAATCAAACCACTGCCCAAAATCAATATGAAGCTATTGGAGAAATTTTTCCAAAGGTTTGAGATGAGATATTAGCTCCAGAAATTCTGAATGCTCTAACACTGGAAATTTCTAAGAAGAGATTGGACAACTATTTGTCTGAAATGGTATAGGGTTTCCTGCCTGAGCAGGGGGTTGTATTAGAAGACCTCCATGGTCTCTTCCAATGATTATTCTATTTTAATATGTTAATAAAAACTAGTTCTACATCTCTACCCTGGACTAAGCTGGAGATGTGGTCCATGGAGTCTGTACGGGATTGGATGGGAAGAAAAAAAAATTAAAACAATTCCTGCAAGGTATAAGCATGGTTTGCTGCTGGTTCCAGTGTTGCAGAGGTGGTATTCAGCAGGTTCTGACCAGTTCTGGAGAACCACTAGCAGAAATTTTAAGTAGTTAAGAGAAATTGGTAAATACCACCTCTGACTGGCCCTGCCCCCATCTATTCCCTTCCTCCCAAGTCCCAGCTGATTGGGAGGAAATGGGGATTTTGCAATAACCTTTCCCTGGAGTGGGCAGGGAATGGAGATTTTACAGTATCCTTCCCCTACCATGTCCACCAAGCCATGCCCACCAAGCCATACCATGCCCACCAAGCCACGCCCACAGAACAAGTAGTAATTTTTTTGGGATCCTACCACTGCAGTGTTGGCTTTATATAGGGCTGCATTATCCCTGAACAAAGGTCAAATTAATAACTTAGGACTGGGATAAATTCTTCTGAACTCACAGCTACTGCTTTATTAGCAGATAATGTCTATATCCAGAGATGTTTTGGCCTATTTTTGGCTGCTAGGTCAGTCGTAGCCTTCTCTGAGATGAGAGAACCAACAGTAACAGTAATTCATGCCTTCATCCCCTTGAGACTAGGTTATTGCAATATACTTTTCATCGGTTGCCTTTGATGACTGCAAAACTGATGCAATACAGTGGTTTGCTGCTGGGTAAAAATCAGCCTTGTTATATCTATTTTGCAGGCGCTGCATTTCCTACTATGAAAGTTTGTTTTTGCAAGAACAAAATTATAGCTAGGCTGACCATTGAAAAAAACTGTTCACAGTTGGGTTGATCAGTCCATTATGTAGAGGTGAGAAAAATAAAAAAATATGGAAACCAGTTTCAATATTGATTCTATAAAAAAGACTAGATCTTGGAGCATGATGTTCCTGGAATTCTGTTGTTACAGGTTCTTAATTTTTCTCCATTAAATACCACATATCAAAAGTTATTGCATTATTTTGAGCTTGACTAATTGATTTCTGCTAGTTCAAGCTGAGCACTAGCTTCCTGAGTACAATTCTCCTCAATGCTTGGCTATCAGGTTCTTCAAGTATTACCTTATTCATATTGAATTTGCATGCCCAAATACACTCAATCTAAAATGGGCTTCGGGCAGAAATGGGCTGACATCGCGATGGCACGACGTGCGATTTGGTGCTCCGAGATCGCAGTCAATATTTCTGCCGCCATTCAGACCTAAACCATCCCGCAGAGATGGTGATTGAGAAGGGCACCTCCTGTTGATCTCAGGGACACTGCAAAGTCCCTGAAAGATCCAGGAATAGCCTTTTTTCCAGCGACAGAAACGCAGCTAATGAAGCTGCTGAAGTTGGGACAGCTTGGAATGGGAAGAAAGCGAAAAGAGAAGGCGTGTCGAATTGGTGAGGAAATTTTATTATTAGAAAAAGAGACTACCCCCCAAAAATTAAGTTAAATTAAAATTGAAGATAGAAGATTGTAAGCAGCAAAATTAATCTATGTTAAACTTAGTGTGTTATCTTGTTTCTAATTTTTTTTTCATGGGTGGAATTTTTGCAAAGGCTCCCTATTTTTTTTTAAACTGAATGGATTATTTTTTTCTTCTTCTTTTTTCACTTTTGCTTACACCTATGAATTAAAATTTTCTTTTTTTTAATAATGCTTGATTGAATTGTTTTTGATCTTCATTTAAGGTTTTTTCTTTCTTTCTTAAGCTTGGGATATAAAGAAGATAAGGATTATAAAGAGGGTTGTAACAACAGAAGGAAAAGCAGTTACGCTGCCATTTAGAGGCTGGAGGCTGGATACATTGTTTTTTTTCTTTCTCTTTGATCACTTGAGATTCAAGGTTGTTTCAGTTTGTTTACTGACAGTGATAGTAGGAAGAGCACAAGTTGTTTATACAGGTGCNATCTATCTATCTATCTATCTATCTATCTATCTATCTATCTATCTATCTATCTATCTATCTGAATTCTAGGATGTTTCTTTCTTCCTTGTTTATTCATGAGGGGATATAGTCTGGTCTGCTTTTTTGCATACATTACAGAAAAAGGTACAGATTTTATTTGTTTATGATCTCCAAGACAAATCAGCTCAACAATAACAGAATATGACTTTTCAAAGTACTCACAGAACTTAACTGTTTTCTTATAAACTTGTGTAAATGATAGGGGTCTTATGTTGTCCGCCTTGACTGTCTGATCATCAATCTTGCTCCATCTGCACTATTTAAGGATTAGAAAAACACAATGACAATTATTTTTTATTTGAAAAGCATATTCTTTATTAGTAGTAAAAATCTTTCAAAGTGAAATGTTAGTACCCTATGAATCAAAAATAATACTCAAAAAGAATCTGATTCTATGGTATGTCAGCCTTCTATCACCTGAGCAGTCTCTTCAGATGTTTGGACATCAATTCTCATAATTCTTAGCAGTTACCAAGCTGGTTGGAAATTTTAGAAGTCCATACACAATTAAAGTTGTTCTGTTGTGTTTTTAACTGCTGTTAGTTGCCTACAAGCCATACTACATTGCCTCATTCATGGTGGGGGGTATTCCTGGCAGAAATCTGTTAAGAACATTGGAAAAGTATGCCAAAAATATATATTCTCAGCTTGATGACCCAAGATGTAGAGGTCATTCCAGCTATCCAGCAAAAGCAAACAGGTACCTGTGCTAATAACAAAATAGGAAGATGCTGGATGCACATTATCACTTTAGCAGCAATGGCAAAGACATTTGTTCATACTGTGAGAGAAGACAATGGCAAACTATTCTTATATTTTTACTAAACAACACATGGATAGAAAATGTTTGATAATTCGCGAAGAAAATCTATATGGTTCCTAAGAGTCAACAACGATGGAATATATTCAATCAATCAATTGTCCAGAGTCACATATTTGAGATGGGCAGTCATATACGTTGAAATATAAACAAATAAATGTGGTGACTGTATTTCATAAAAACGCAGCTACTCTTATATGTATAAGACCAACTTGACATATTTATTACATTAAATATATTTCATTGGTGAGAAAAGGGTTTGGACAACCCCTTCTGAAGAACTAAGGAATTATCCAGTGAAATATGCTTGGCAACATGTTATACCAACTTCAGATTAGAAAAAGAAGAATTTCATTCCAATAGCAAATAAACAGAATATTAAATAATACACATTTGGGCAATTCAGGTATTTATCTATTTCTTCTTTGCTGGATGATTTCAAGTAACCTTACTTTTTCTGGTGCCTCTAAACAGAGATTCTTTTCCCAGTAAGGTTCTCTGGTATTTAGGATCGACAAGTTCCAAGTACTTGAACAGTGTACCATTTGTACAGATAAAATTTCCTGGACAGACAATGAAAGAATGTAGAATTCTAACTCATTTTGGAATATCATGAAGTGAAGAAATTACACTCTTATCTTTAATCACCTCTCTCTCAAAGAAGAAATATTGTAGGATACTGTTACACTATGATCTTCCAACATTTCTATGTGCAAAGATATGGAAAACTGAACTATCCACTGGTAAATGTGATTTTGGTATTAGGGCTGTAAGTGTTAAAGTGACCATATCCTTTGCAAGCCTCACGTTCTTGTTTCATCAGCTGACCATAATTGCTTCCAATGCTGTACACACAGACCACCAGACAAAGATTAACCAGGAAGCCTTACAAAGCAAGTTGTTGCCAATGTGCTTTACAAAGCATGTCTCTGGAACCTTTTGTACATTTAATTCAATTTACCTGACCTCAATCGATGGATTTTACATGGGAAGAAATGTTTCACAAAGATTAATTACATTTGTGTCACAATGTGACTAAACAAATATCATTTACCAAAAAATTTTTTTTTTTGCAAATGAAACAAATTATTGCAACTGACCTACTTTTCAATTAAATAATCTGGAAATAATGGCATCAAATTAATTTACTAAAATGAAGTTAAGATAGTATTTTACTTCCACTAAATTCTTGGAATAAATCCAGATTTGAACAACAAATCAGCAATTTTTGAAAGGTAGATTTCCTTTTTTTATTTTCTATATTAAATAGCTTTTAATATTTGACACCTATCTTCTCAATTCATGTCTTAATCACATTTTAAATGAAATATTGTTATAGCATCAAATAAAGCAATTCAACACCTGCTCATTGCAGCTTTAACAGTATCAAGAAAATAAAGCTGTACATTATAATCATAAAAATCAAAAAGACAATCTAAGGTGGTGAATATCAGCGGTGTTAAAAATCAAGTTTACACTGCCGTGAACAAAACATTTCCAAGTTTGTCAATTTTAAATAAACTATTTGTAACACACAAAAGAAGAGGCAGCAGAATTTTAGATGCATGTTTTCCATTTCATTAAAGAGCAACAAAGACAGCGTGTATGGTTCAGGTGTTTTTACAAATGCCATCTCAGTTCACAGTATGTGCTTTGCATTTAAATAAGAAAGGGTCTTAAGTTCACATTGTAGCTTCTGACAGGCTAATGTTACCTTTTTATCTTTCAGCAAAAAGCTTTGGGGAGATGAACAGCAGTGTCCAAGAAAAATTATCTAGAGTATATAGTATTATGTTCTGCTAGAAAATATCTAATTTTTGAACTTAGAAAGTACCAAAATATTTCATTTAGAATTAAATCCCACTTACACTGGATATTTCCTAACAATTAGTAATTTGGATTCAGAGTTCTAGTTTCGAAGAGGTGTTTTTCTGTTCAATTGTATCCAATTCTTAAGGACTGCCTGGGCAAGTTCCTGATGTTCCCTTGGCAAGGTTTTTTAGAAGTGATTTGCCTTTGCCATTTTCCTATAGCTGACAAAAGGTAACTGGCCCAAGGTCACCCAGCTGACTTCATGCCTAAAGCAGAACTATAGAACTCACGTTCTCCTGTTTTCTAACCTGGCACTCAGAGTGCTTTAGCTGTGACTAAAACACAGTAACAGAACTTCTGCTATCAAGAAAAATGGATGTTACCTAGTCAGATAATGAAATGTTGGCAAGCAAGTAACCAAGCTCAGAGAGCACCAAGGATTGCACAGTTCAACCCTGAGGTATATATACTGTATATTCCCAGAGTAGGTTTTTTTTCTGCATTTGCTTTTAATACCTGGGTAGCAATTAAATATGCAAAATGCTGGAGCAGCCCAGCTGGATCAGACAACCTATTAAATAGCAACCTGCTCCCTATACAGCAGTGATGGCAAACCTTTTTTGGCTGCTGTGCCAAAAACAGGGGGAGCACAGGGGGGTTGTGTGCTGACGTGCCACACCCATAATGCTATGTGCGCGCACCCCCCAGTACGCACGCATGCACACAATCAGCGACCCTGCTGCTTTTGCCTCAGTTTTTCCGCCTTCCCCAGGCTCCAAAGGCTTTCTAGAAGCCTGGGGAGGGCAAAAACAGTCTCCCTGCCCTCCCCAGACGCCTTCCGGAAGGCAAAAATGGACTTACTGGGAATCCGGAAGTTCGGGAATGGTGACTTCCAGTTTGTCCATAGGGCCAATTTTCGACCTCCTGAGCCTTCAGGGAAGCCTCCTGAGAGCGAAAAACAGTCCTACAAGCAAACTGGAAGTCCCTTCCTGAATTTTGGGTTTGCGCATAGGGCCAGTTTTGGAGGCTTCAGGGAAACCTCTGGAGGGCGAAAAACAGCCTCAAAAGAAGGCTGAAGTGAGCTGGCCAGTGTGCACATGCACGCTGGCCAGCTGACAGAACAATGCCTCACGTGCTCAGACAAATGGCTCCACGTGCAACCTGTGGCACGTGTGCCATAGGTTCGCCATCACGGCTATACAGTAATATTAGATGCCCAGATGTTCATAAGTAGAATACTATTTTGACAGAACCATCATATAACCAACACTATCAGATCTCAGAACCACAACAGTCAATCCACTTTTGTCATTCCTCTTAAAATGGCAACTTGTTTTAAAATAAGTCTTTTGCAATTATTCTTCCCTTTGTCACATTTTCTAACCAAAGACCATGTCTTTGAGAAAAATATTTTAGGCTACTATAAAAAAAAACCCTACAATACAAATACTTACATATTTACAAAAATAATTCAAAAATGCAACTGAAACAATTCGAATGGTAATCACTGCAGGAATTTATCTTGAAATGCAAAAAACTATTATATTATACAATAAAACAGGGGAGGGGGAAAGCCTTTTCCTGGTATATTAAAATACCTCCACTCAAGTCCAATACCACAGATGTCAACATTCAGACAAATGCATGAAAAGATCAGCAACACTTCAGGTAAAATAGTTTTTAGTTTTTAATATTTAAACCAGATACATGTTATATACTTAGTGCAAGAAATTGCCCTAATTATGGAATGCTGCTCTAGGGAGGCAGAGAAAGTCATGGGAAGATTTTCAGGGTGTTGGACAAGCTAAGATATGTTGCATTGAGTATTAGCAAAAGCTCTGTGGAGAGGAAATATACTGAGAAAATAATGAGCAGGTAGATAGGCTATGCACTGCTGGGAGTAAATGAACCTCCTCCCCCCCTTTAGTTACTTTAGGATTAAATTTACCAAGGAAGGAGTATTAATTTTCCTGAGACTATATGGGTACTATAGGGTTGCACAATTTGCTTAAGGAGCAGCCAACATATACAAAGGTGTTCATGATGGATGCCAACCTCTTTGCTTTGTTCAGATCCAAATACTGTGCATCACTACTTCCAGTCCAGCTTTTGTATTGACCAAAAGCACTGTTGCCGGCTTTAATTTCAGCTTCCTCATTTTCATCTATTATCTCTTATTATCTAGCTGCCAATTGTTTTTGGATTTTAGTGACACATTCAAGATATTTATTTGCATAGCTGTCCACTTCATGTGACTCTGACCCAATAAACAATTAAAGTACAAGATAATCACATAATTCAATAATTAAACTAGTTAAAAACTAAAATAACACCTTACTCCAAAGCTGGGAAAACACCCAACCCTACCAGATATCATAGAATCTAGATTATTAGGGCAGATTGTAACAAAATTTCTCAGTAGTGCAGATAATCTATTAAGAGAGTTTTAAATCGGTAACGATGTCACAAATGAGAAATTAGGAACAATGACCTTAACGAAGTCTGCAAAATTACCTGAATATTACTTTGAAAAGCCTTGCCCCGTGGGTCTCTTTTCACACACAAAAGAAATCCAATTTATGTCATCCTTGCAAACAAGAATGGAAAGAAATACATACTATTTCTGCAATTCTCACTCAAGTTACTTGGGAAGTAGGACCGATTTGAACGCACCAACACGAACTCGCGAGTAAACAACTGCCCCAAAAGGCAAAAAAGGTGGTGGGGAATCTCGCTTACCCATAAAAATTCTCTGTCTTTGGCTTCGCTGCAACAAAACAGTAAAAACCCTCGAATCCGGGATTTCTTCTTTTAAGCCGATCGAGTCTCAACAAACTGCAGCCCTTTTTTCCTCCATTTCTCCTTTTGTACTGCTACTGTTTTAATCCTAGTATTCACCTTTCGGGGAGTATATCTCGCCGAGTTTGACGGGCTTACTCCATAGAGAGCAGCTCCCTAACTTAGTATAACCAGGGAAAAGTAGCCAAGGAGTCGCGCGCAGCAGCTCCACCGAAGCCACGACGGATAATTCGGAGTGCAAAGAAGCGCCGTACAATAAAACCAATCAACCAATCCGTACGCAGAAAAACCCTTCACCCTCTCTGTGCCCTAGTAGTTAGTCCGTTCGCCCGAGCCGCCCCGCCGCAGATCCTTCTCCCAGCACACAGAGCCCGACCTGGAAGCCTCACCTCCGAGACGTGTAACACGCCCACGTCCGCTCGAAAATAACCGCCGCACTATTCAAACTCCGACATCCGCTTGCGTCACAAATAGAGGCACGAATGGAAGAAAAGAGCCCCACCCCCTTTCTCCGTTGTAAGCGACATCCATTGAACCGATTTTCTACTGCGAAGGTCTGAATAGAATTCTTAGAGAAGAGGGAGGGGCTGGTAGTGAGGAAGTATTTTGATTGGATGATTGGCTGCCATTGGCTAACTATGTCGGGAGGGGGACAGAGGCTGGGCTAATTTTCCGTCTCTCTCCATTAAGTTTTTCGGGGGTGGTGATGGAGGAATTTTTCAGCCGTGTGAATTTGTCAGCAGGGAAAACCAGTTGGTCTTGCCAGAGTTTGAGCCTTGCCTCCACAAAGGAACGGTTCTCAGTACGTGAAGTTGGCAGAATCGTCCGTGATTCAAATCCTCATCGCTTCGGGACCCTTAAATAAGCAACCTTCAACGCAATGAATAAAATAGAATGAGCTCCAAGGGACCTTGGAGGTCTTCTAGCCCAACCCCCTGCTGAAGCAGGATAATTTACCCCCATACCTTTTATCTTAAACTGTCTACCGTGGACCTTACGCGTTTCTTAAAAGGTCCCTAAGGGGGCGTGCATAAGCGCACCAGGGTGCCTATCGTCCCCATTTATATGTACTCATTTTTGTGTTTATGGCTATGTTTTGCTTATTTATATCCATTTATTTGTGCCTTTTTTTCATATGTCCATATCTATGTCTATACTGATATTTGTTTCCTTGTACTTGTTGACACATAAACAAAACTTATACATTATAGAAAACATTACTTGGGAGTAGCCTTGTATGAACCCAGCCCATGTTTGTTGGAAGAGGTACATAGATTGTAAGGGTTTATTCAGCAAAATCCTGTCTACCCAGCCAATCCTAAAAAAACACCATATATGTTAGTGAGGCTTATTTTAAATAGCAAGAATTGCAGCTTTCCATTATAACCCCAAATCTTTATTCCACTTTTATCAACATTTATTTGTGTCTTACCTTTTATTATTTTTACATACAAATTGGCGAACATAGCCAACACACCTTTGTCCTATTTCTCCCATATCAACAACTGTGAGGTGGTCTGACAGAGAATGATTGACCCAAATTCAAGTTAACTAAATTTAGTGGATATTATTGTAATAAACCACTACAGTAAGGAGTTCTCTGTGTATCTAGTATATACTAGTATATTCCACTTGAAATGTGGGGAGGGATTATCAGACAAACTAGGCTTATGTCCATTCCAAGAAACTAATTTGAAAATAGTCTCAGAGTGAGGGAGGAGGGAAACACATTCAGACTTGCAAGAATCAGTAACTATAGCTAACATAATACAAGTGGTTTTAAGCCTATGTGACGCCGTTTCTTAAGTCTGATCTACCCTATAGAGCTGATATCAACAGAAGACATAGTTTTATGGAAGCATGCCCAGTCGGTTGGATCTTGTGGATGGGTATTTTTGATTGGAAATAGGTGGCTATGCAAATAAATGGTCACTATACCATGAAGAGATTTATTGGTGATTTGAGATTTTTTGAGATTTTATTAATATTTGTAGGCCGCCCTTTTCCCTGAGGGGACTCAGGGC